AAACAACCTCATTAGAAAGTAAGTTTGCATAATCCAGGGAAGTTAGAGATGTGAATGCCCTGTGACTCAGCAATTCCACTCCTAGCCCCTGAGAATTTTGTGCACACGTGTAAAAGAAGATATGCATTAAAATATTACTGTAGCGAATGGAACGTCATTCTTTCAGTTGCCAAGGATGAAAACCTACTGTCATCCTTGACTCCCCCCTTTCACTAAATCACAGACATTCAATCTGTCAGCAAGTCCTGTCAGCTCTACCTTTAGTACACTGCCGGAATGTGAACTTTTCATCATCCCACTATCTCCATCCCTCTCCAAGCCACAATCACTTCTCACCTGCATTATCATAATAGCCTCTTGAGAACTGGTCTATCTGCTTCTGCCCTTATCTTTCTGCAGTCTGTTTTTAACACAATGGTCAAATGATGAACATATCATTCCTCTGCTCAAAACCTCTGACTCCCCAACTCATTCTGATTAAAAGCCCACATCCTTACTATGACCCACAAGGCCCTACGTGACTCCTCTCCTCCTGCCCTCCCCCTTACCCACTTCCTGCCAGCCATACCGGATTCCTTACTGTCATGTAAACCTGCCAGGCACACTCCTGACTTGGGGACTCTGCACTTATTCCTTCAGCCTGGGAGGCTCTTCTCTCAAACGCCTACAGGGTTAGCTCTCTCACTGCCCAAGATCTGAATTGAATAGATGCTGTTTCAGTGAGGCCACTTAGATTGTCACACACTACCACACCGCCATCCTGTAAACACGGATCCCTCATACCTGCTTCTTCCCTCTAGGGCACTTAGATTGTCACACACTATCACACCGCCATCCCGTAAACACGGATCCCTCATACCTGCTTCTTTCCTCTAGGACACTTAGATTGTCACACACTACCACACCACCCTCCTGTAAACGCGTATCTATCAGACCTGTTTCTTTTCTCCATAGCACTTATTATCCTGAACAAGCTACATATGTAACTTGTTTTGTTCATTGTCTCTCTCACTAGAAAACAAGAGGGGCTTTGTCTGTTTTTACTGCTATATCCCAGCATGAAGAATACATAGTAAATGCTTAATAAATTTTATAGACTGAACAGACAGAACATTATTTGTAATAATAAAACTGGAAACATCAATACATCATAAGGTATCTGGCTCCTAAAGAGATTTTATCTACATTCCAAAGAGCTGGAGTTAGGATTCAGGCGTACAACATTTCCAAGGAAAGCCTTTCGGGGGAAAGGGAAACAGCTGTCTCCTTCCAGTTATTTTTTTCCCTTGCTCTTCACCTGTGGCATGTCTGGCAACTCGTGTAGGAAAAAATTCCATCAGTTCTCATTCCTGAGGTTAGGCAGGCACTGGAGCAAGGATAGCCAACACACTATTGGTTACTGTCAGGGATTAATAAAAATATAAAAATCGGTTTCTTATCCAGAATACCTCATGTGTGCATTTAGGATAAAATTAATAAAGATCAATATTTAAAGCCAAACAGTAAGGTTCTGAGAGTGAGTCTGATGGTTTCAGGTTTCTCAGAGAAGCAGGAGGTTAAGACCAGCTTCTAAGGGACCAGGACAGAAGTGTAAGAGAATCACATCAGAGGAGAGCCAAGAATGTTGGAAACAAGACTTATGGAAGAGCAGTAGAGCACGCTGATCAAAGCAACACTGAATTGCTGGACAACATTAGGAGCCGATCTGGCACAGAGCAGATGGTCAATAAATACTGGTTTACTGAATGAATGAGTCAAAGAGGAAAAGTGAAAAACGAAATGAGTAAGCAAACAAGGGAGTGTGCGCAAAGAAGTGAGCAAATGAATGAATGAGTTAATGAGCGGGCAAATGGGTGAGTGAATGCATGAGTTTATAATAGTCCCACTGTGTCCTCTGGTGTGATTTCTTTTTCCTTGCATCCCTAGCTGCTCATGTGTTGGTTTATCTGGGTTCAAAATTTGCCACTTATGAGTGTATTAAAAAAAAAAAAAGATTCTAGTGGAAGGTTAAGGTATTGGCAAGAGTGTTATTGAAACAATAAATCATGGAGCATAAGCTGGGTCAAAAGAGACGCAAAATAGAGATGACTGATAGAAGGGGAAAAATAGGACAACAGACTGGGTGTCAATCAGGAAACCTGCAAGGAGAAGAGACTATTATGTTCAAAGACTGGGAAGCCTGAATTCATACTGTGGGAAGAGGAAGAGACCATGGGAATGGTGGCTGACAGAACTAAACAACTAGAAATGAAGAAGTCAAGAACAGAGGGGACAGGGTGTGCTGAGTCATACAAACGGACATTGAAATCATTCCGAATAGCGGCAGCACTTGGCCTGTAGAGAAGACTGTGATTCTTCGTAGACTCTGACATCTGGATAAGACAAAGTGACTAAGCAGCTGGTTACTTATGCAGAACAGGATCTGAGGTGAAAAAGAACGTCTACTTTTCATATTTTACATTTCAGGATTATATGATTGTTTTGTTGTTGTTGGCTTACAATGAACATGTATTACTTTATAAGTGACAAAAAATGCAAATCTCAAGAGAGACAGTATTAAAATGAAGTCAAAGATAGCAGTTTGCAATCCAAATGAAATCATTAATTGAAAAAGCGGTAATAGCAAATACTGCCTGAAACATTTAAGTGCTGAGTCCGACAATGAAACTAACTTTTAAATCACTTACTTACCTTTTTATTTTCAGTCACTAAAGAAAAAACATAAAGAAGGCCATCTGGGTCTTTACTGAAACCTATAATAACACTCTAAGAATCCTAAGGGGAAAACACTAAAACGACAACAGGGTTATTTATTTAACTAAATAAATGGATACAGGATGGTCACCTCAGGTATTATGGTTCTAGGAAGCACAGTTCTTACTTCAAGGGCCATAAAGATCCTGTGAATTATCTGTCCCTCATGGGGATGAGACACTATTTTCATATCCTCATAAAAGAACCAAAAATACAACTTCCTTTATCTTGTTTCCTTTGGGGATGCATAATTTTTAAAAACTCTTTATAGAATTCAACTATCATGGAGTAACTTGAGAATTACTAGATTTGAAGATAATTTTCATGGAGTCTCTAATTTATGCTGGCCTCCATTGCTACGACCATGGGGGACTAAATAAAAATAAAGCTTAACGTATTAAAATTTTTATAGGAAATAGACTATTTAAAGGGATGTAAATAAAAATAGTGAGACAAAAAGATTTAATAAATTAAACTCAAAGGGGGAAAGAAAACCTAGAAGCACTGCTATTAAAGTGGTGCAGTGGTTAAGTGCTCAGCTGCTAACAGGAAGATGAGTGGTTGGAACCTACCGGCCACTCCGCAGGAGAAAGAAGTGGCAGTCTCTTCTGTAAAGATTACAACCTCAGAAACCCTGCGGGGCAGTTCTACTCTGTCCTATAGGGGTCGCTATGAGTCAGAACTGACTTGACGGCAAGAGGGTTCAAATATGATACATTTGTCTATAAATTCCTTTATTAAATTTCAGTTTCACAGAAGGACAACTACTACATTCCTTGTACATCCTCCATCCTAAAATGGTGACTTTAGGAATCTCCAAATTTAACAGTGTATATTGGAAGTAAATCTAGATTCCAAACATTTCTAGATATAGTCAAACAATTTTAAATTTAAATACTCTGCTATGAAAAATTATAACAAAAAATAACCTTGAAAATTCGTAACTGGGCAAGATTAATGATCTCATCCAATACTGACAGCAATTAAAAATAATTATAATTCTTAAATTAAAGTTACAGTCATCAATATATAAATACAACTAGAATGGCAGAGAAATGCCACAATATAAGTTTAACAAATATTACACATTATCTTCACTATAATGTGAAACATAAAATTAATTTCTGCTTCAAATATTGCAAAAACCGGGCTCTGGTCTAAAGCTACTAAACTTCTGTCAGTTGATGAATATGCAATTATCAAATAAAAATATATGATAAAATCAATGATTGGATCCATGTGACTCAGAGGAAAAGATCTCGGGTACCTTCCTAATCCTCCAAATTCTCAAATACCACTTGTGGTACAGGTCACTAGTTAGAACAGCCACTCTACCCTGCTTCTATGGTAATGCAATCTCTAATTTGTATCTGGACACGTGGCTACCCAGAAAAACCACCATATTTTTACGTAAATAATGTGAGCCTTCTACTTTTGTTTGCTAACCACTCCTTCCCCCTTCCCCAGGTATTTTCATAAGTATGCTATACTAATCTTTTTACCGCAACATGTAAAAATAATTAGCATAGCGCTTATGAAAATACTGGTGGGGGGGCGTGGTTGGCAAAAAAACATAGAATGCGAGCTCGTGTTATTTGCATAAAAATACAGCACATTCCCTCGTCTCCCTAGTAGCTAGTGTTCTAGGCAATCAGGTGTGAGGAGACATGATATTTGCAACTTCTGGGGTGTGCCATTAAGGGGTACGTCCTCTTCTACCCTGCCAACTAAAATGCAAATGTGGTAATAAGTCACCTGGACCATGCTGATAAGGTCACACATTTGGGATGTCAGAGTAACAAGACAGAAGGTGACTAGGTTCCATTACAATTTTATGGACCAAAATCACTGTACCAACTAAGGCTTTCGAGAGAGAAAAGTGTATTTCTTGCCTTGTGTAAACCACGATTATTGTGAGTTTCTGGTATAGGCCGCCAAACCTGTATCTTTTGATTTCCTCAGGTTCCTCAGCTATAATATGAGATTAGTAATAATCATACCCATCTCACAGACTATTGTGAAGATGAAAAATTTTAAATAAAAAGAAGAAAGCTGCATCTGTGTGGATATCAGGCAATCTACTAAGCTCCTTCTCTACCTAAATAACTTGTTTCCCCACACCAACCTCTGTGTGGGCAATTCTCAGCAAAATTACAAGTTAGGAAGCTTTGCAGTGACTTGAAAAATAGATAAAACCATAAACAGTGAGCTGGCAAATGACGTGGATCTGCTTAGCTGTAACTTACATGTTGTGATTGATGTTATACTGATTCTCTCTTTCAAGTTCCTGACTACAGGATTCACATCTTTTCCAGCCATCTTCTGTTTTAATCCAACTCCATCCAGGAGATCTCCAGTCCTGCCCCAAAAATGGCATAGTTCTCCTATAAAAAAGTTAATTCATGTTAAAAGTGTATGTATAATGAACCAAAGTTTCTTTTCATTTAGAATATTTACTCATTAATCTTAAAGAATAAAGTCCCTAATTAATATTTAAGTGTCTGCTTGGAACTTTAACATTGGCTAGACATTGATGATAAAATAGTGAAAATAATATAGTACCTTAGTTGTACTAAAGCGCCAAGATAGGAGTAACCATAGGCAGTCCCGTTTTACGAACACTGGACTTATGGACAACTCCCACTTGCCCTCTAATGTTGCGTAAATTTGCCCCGACTCTGAAAGGACTGAACCAACCCTTACTTGCAACAAATTCTTCATCATACTCACCTTCACTTGCTGCATGTGCAGCTCTTAAATCACTGAAAAAGTTTCGAGCCTTTCCTTACACTAAAGGAAGGCTAACTAAGAATTGCATGCGCCTGTTCTGACTTACCTATGAATTTGACTTAAAGGCACACTAAGGAATGGATCTCGTTCGTAACCTGGGGACTGCCTGTATAGGTGTATTTACCAGCCTAATATTACATGTGTCATGAAGAGTTTACCAGAAGTAATAGTTTATACCAGAAGAACAAGTAGAAGTCAGAGGGTAGGGAGGAACAGGGAATATTATTCCAAACAGAGTAAACCCTCTTTCCCAGAAGTTAGTAGCAACATCAAGTGAAATGTATTCAGCAACTGTAAGTAGTTCAATTTGGTTGAAGCTTAGAATATAAGAGAGGGAGTGGGGAGTGGCTAGAAAGGAGAATGGAGAAGTAATTAAGGTCCAGATGTAGTCAAAGGAGCTGGACTTTATTCTGAGGGTCATGAGGGGCCAGTAAAGGGGTTTAAGCAAGTAGGTAATTTGACTAGATTTGAGTTCTACAAAGAATGGATGGGTGTGGGGGCGGGGGGGGCCTGGAGAAAAGAATAATTAGGACTGGAGGTTACTGAATGTTGGCCTTAAAAAGATTAGAGTATGGTGGCAATAGGACAGAACGAAGGGCCTAGAAATATTCAGGAGGTAGACTCAAACGGCACTGGAAGATGACTGGCTGTGTGAGGGAGAAATCAAAGATACGCAGATTCTGATTTCTGGCACCTGGGACTGAGGTAAGACCTATAGATGGACCAGCGAGTGTTTGCTGGGGTGTGGGAGGGTGAGGGAAATGTTCGTCTCTGTGGACCAGCGAGTGTTT